CCGGGTTAATATAAACTTGAAGTAATTTCCCAGACATAGATTTTTCGTTAGAAAAAGCAGGCAATCTGTTCCTTTTTTTTTTTTTTTTTTTTTTTTTTTTTTTTTTAGAAAGAGGGCTATTTTAAGATGATAATATCGTGCACACATACAAGCTGGTATCGAAGATTCTTAAGTGGGTGAAAAAATTCTTGGTCTGATACAAGTCTGGGAAATTTAGTCGGTAGTCGTTTGATATAGTGAAGAGGAAGTTTTTTCAAAGCATGATATTATTCATATGGCATTAGAGACCAGTGAATATAAAAAAAAAGAACATTTTAGGAAATCAGAGATTTTTCTTCAGTATCTAATATATGATGTTTTATATTAATGAACGAATACTGAAAAAAAAATTAGAAATATAAAAGTAATATAGAAAAAAAATATTTGAAATAAATTAAAAAAAAAAGAAAAGAAACAAATAATGAAAAAAATAATTAAAAATATGAAATAATTAGTAAATAAATTGAGTAACAACTACAAAAAAAAGAGATTATAAGAATAACATAAAAATATAATTTTTATATATTTTATATGGAATTATTCAATTGTTACAAACTTGCGAGAACATAAGAATTAATCTCTCTAGCAACGATTGATCCCAATTCTATTATTAAGTACCGTCAATTTATTTTAAAAGTTTTAATTATTCAAAGTTCATCAATTATTCACTCATCGAACAAATCTTACCTCTAACTAAAAGACGAGATGGTAAAGAGGTTAATGCATCCTGTCGCGTAAAATCGCCAGAAGTAACCTGACATTCCCAATAGCCATCATCGAAATCAAGGGAGGCTCTTCTGATAAGGAGGGTGCAATCACTACCACGTCCACTGGCCCATTCATATTTATCCGGATGCATGCCTACTGGTTTTCGGTCTTTTTGCCAAATACACTGACCTCGTTTGTCTTGCACTTTGCATCGTAATTGCACATCATCACCGGAGGAAACTTCTTGATATAATGCTGGAGTCTCTGCGAATCTTTGCTCAGCATTAATGCGAGCAGTGATTATAAATATGATCACAGTAATGCTTTGAAAATAAATGAAGTTCATTTTGAAGATTGTAATTATGATTAGATAAGTATCGGTACTTTTTAGAATTTTGTTTCTAAAAATTTTATTATATATTTACATATAATGTTAGCTTTGATTCTTTGGAATACTCATTATCGATAATATTTTGATACTTGTTTTTAGTATCGATTCTATTTCGAGATGAATTTCTTATTATACAATATTATTATATTTTGTTGAAATAAGTTCGTTGTAAACTGTATCACAAATAACGGTTTTTAAGTTCGTTGAAATAATCGATGTTATATGAAATTATTCGATATCATATTATAAATCGATCGATGAATCGATTTCTGAGCGGCATAAAAAATTGGCGCCGAACGAATCGAAGATAAAATATTTCGAAAACATAACGAACGTAACAATATTTATATATTTGTAACAATATTTATATTTCTTTCATATTTATAATTAATTAATGATTTTAATTTTTTAAAATATTTGTTTATCAATTTTAAAATTTAAATTTTTTAAATCTCCTTTTGATAAAATATTTTCACTACACTTCAGTTTGATGGAATTTAAAACACAAAATATTAAACACTCGAATATAAAACACAAAATTTAAATGTTATCACATTCAATAAAAATTAATATGAAGATTCAAAATTATAGTTTCGACGGAGACATTAATATTCATAATTGATCTAATAGTTTATAACCAACATTGAGAATCTTTCCGTTGAAGAATATGAGACGAAGTGTGCGTGAACTGTTGTGAAATTCGAATGAAACTCCGTGACAGCATAGAACTTGTAGCGCCATCATCGGTAGTTAACTGAAACATTTTTACATCCCTTATAAAATTCAAATTTTTTTTGCGTTTTTTTGCTACGCAAAACAAAATATTTGTATAAATTCAAAATATTTTTTAGAAAATACAAACTTTTATACTTCCATAAATAAAATAGCCTGGATTAGATCGAATAATGTTTGATTTCATTAAAACTTTCATAGATTATAACGGCCATCACTTTCATTATCATTTGTAGCGGAAAATTGAATTCTATTTCATATAATTTTTAACACATCTGTTATCTATATGTCACCATGATTCTTACAAATTTTCTCACTTTTTATTTATTTTATTTATTCCATATTTTTATTTTTATGTCTGATTTCTTAAAATTTTAAGTGGAAAATTCTTTTAAATCACAATCACAATCATAAATTTAAAGGAATAAAATTTTCCATTAAAAAAAATTAGATTTTCTTTCACAAATCACTTTTTTCTTTTCAAATGTATTCATAAAAGCAAATTATCGAATAGAGTATTAAGTTGTTGAAAATTATAATTTGAAGAATAGGTGGATCATGCACGGGAAGCGGACGATGCCTGAGAAACAAGAAAAGAAAACAGTCTCGTACACAAAATCAAGTATATCTAGGACGTCAGAGTACAATGCTATAAGCACATAGTGGAACTGAACCAGAGTTAAAGCCAGAACATTCACCGGAATGGAAGCGGAAGACGGGCCCCAAACGCAGACCCACGCGTGCGTATCCAACCCTGTCTCCTCTGTTGGCTATCCTTATTATTCGAGCGTGTTATCATTATGCCATGCTATGGCGAGTTTAGCCGCCCATTTGTTCTACGTACTCTTTATTTTGCGCTTACCTAGCATAAACCATCATCACGCCCTCTTCAATTGATCCCCAAACTTATCACAATGAAATTTCGGATTTTTACAAATCAATATTAAATGTAATTTAACTAATAGATAAGTTTTAAAGAAGGAAATATGTAACATTTAATGATTTATTGCATTTTTAGATTCATCTTCACATTTTAAAGATTAAAACGGAATATTTATATCTATTAATCTATTATATGAATTAAAATAAATTACCGATAGAGATATGTTTTATTTTTTATTTCCAATATATGTCAAAATCTAATTAAGAGAATGTATTACAATATATTTTTTTTAAAAAATAATTTACATTTTATAGTGTTATTATAATATATTAATTAGTAGTATTATTATTTTATAATGTTACTATATATATTACTATATATTTAATTATTATAATTTAATAAATCATTGATAAATCGATAGTTTAATAAAACAATTTCAAGAAGTCGATGAATAATTTTATTGTGAAGATAAATATTAATGACTGTGCTAATAAGCTGTTAATTGATTTACTCATTCATTCATCTTATCGACATAGTCACTTTGATGAGATTATAATGATCAATATAAACTATTAAAAAAATTCAAGAATTAATTTAGATAATTCATTATAACTACGAACTAATTTTTGGGAAAACAAGTTTTTCTTATGAGAAAAAAATATTACGAATTCCTTCATTTTTA